GATAGAGGGCAGGGGAGTTCGGGGTGGTGGTCAGGGGGTGGGGGGTTGGATAGGGGTCGGGGCAGTCAGAGGGTGAGGAACGGGTTGAATGGGGGCAAGAGTCGGGGGGGGGTTGGATGGGGCGGCGGGGGGCAATCAGAGGACAGGGAGAAGGGGTGGTTGGATGGGGCAGGGGTCCTGGGGGTGGGCAGTCAGGAAGGAGAGGAGGGGTTGGATGGGGTGGCGCAGGGCAGTCGGGGCGGGGATTCCGGGGGGGGAGGGTCGGAGCAGGGGGTGTGGACGGGGTAGGGGTTCCAGGGGGGGCCGTCGGGGAACAGGGGGGGTTGGATGGGCCAAAAGTCCAAGGGAGCCATCACGGGGCCAAAAGGGGGGGTGGATAGGGGGTGGGGGCTGGGCCACGCCCCCCTCCCCTAACTGGCCCTCCATACAATTTCCAAAACCCAATGCGGCCCTCAGGCCAAAAAGTTTGCCTGCCCCTGCATTAACATCATTGCTAGTTTTGACTGCAGAATTAGACCCTTTGTGGTTTAGTGCTGTCATATAGTTCTACATACATAGTCATGTGTGCATATTTCTGAAGACCTAGAGAAATACCTTGGACCAAAGTTTGTAAAATACAAATGTTTAAAATTAATTTTAATTTAAATTTTTAACCTTTTTTAAAAATTGACAAATGATGCAAGGAATTCTTGTCTATTTTATTCTGGAATTAGAAAACAAATATGAAGAAGAGGATTAAAGTACCATCAGTTATAAAGTTTGTATCCCTATGGCATAGTTTGTGTGTTCATGGTAGCATTCTCTGCAGTATTTCAGTAGACCTATTTAGATGCTTTTTGGACTCTATAGAGAAAATTTTTATAATTTGCTTGTATCCTCTGTAATGACGGTGCTAACTAGATCTAGAATTAATTTGTCTCTTAAAACAATGTAAACTGTACAATTATGATCAAAATATTAACCTTTACTCTTTTTGCACAGTGTTATACCTTGTATGGGCGTATGTTCCTGAATCTTGGTTATTCTCATTGGGACTAACATACTGGCCTCAAAAGTAGGTTAAATTCATTCACTGTTAAACATGTGAAAGAACAAACACATACCCAGAAAAATTGTGCCAGTGTCCTTTTACATTTAAAATTTTTTACATTTAATCCAACTTGAAAAAGAAGATTTAATATGTTTCTCCTCACAAACAGCTACAGTATTTATGTAAAGTAATGTTTCACAAACAACAGTTTACTCTGAAAAATTATCAGCAAGCTAAAATGAAGTGCAGTACACCTGTCTGTTATGTTCTTAAAGTAATTTGGCAGCTTGGTTTAATTAAGGTTTTTTCCTGAAATATCATGGTAAATTTTATTAAATTAAATTGCCAAAAAAAACTGTCTAAGACATTTATTTGGCTATTATTCCATACTGGTCACAATGGGTCCTTAGTTAATGAACTGCATTTTCAGGGTCTTCTGGTTTTAGTGTGGTGGTCTTAGCTATAACTATTTTTTCTATCCACTTTAAATTCATACACCTCTACCCTGATATAACGCGACCCGATATAACACGAATTCGGATATAACGCGGTAAAGCAGCGCTCCGGGGGGTGGGGGTGGGGGCTGCGCACTCCGGTGAATCAAAGCAAGTTTGATATAATGCGGTTTCACCTATAACGAGGTAAGATTTTTTTGGCTCCCGAGGACAGCGTTATATCGAGGTAGAGGTGTACTTGTTTCTACTTCTGTACTGTCTTGCTTGATTTAGAGCTGGAAATAATTTTTAACTAAAGACTTTCTTTTGCGAAATGTTATTTAAAAATAAATATTTTATTCTGCAGGTACTGGGCAGTTGCTTTGCCTGTATACCTTCTGGTTACTTTAGGAATTGGCTATATACTACTCTTTGGTATTAACATGATGAGTACTGCTCCACTTAACTCCATGCACACCATTACAGGTAGTTGATAATTTTCTTGTCTAGTTCTTAAGCCTTCTACAAAAGTTATTGACAATCACTGTAAACATACTTGCTGGTATTACTAAACTAAACCAAATTCAAAACCTTGAATTTGCACTTATGTTTAATGTATTGGTGTATTATAACTCAGTGGTTTGAGCATTGGCCTGCTAAACCCAGGCTGGTTGTGAGTTCAGTCCTTGAGGGGGCCATTTAGGGATCTGGGGCAAAAATCTGTCTGGGGATTGGTCCTGCTTTGAGCAGGGGGTTGGACAAGATGACCTCCTAAGGTCATCTTGTCCATCCTGATATTCTATGATTACAGGACTGTTACAAACAGTTATATATTTTGTTCAAACTTAATTTCAATACAATGTTATAACTACAAGTTTTGATTGTTTTATTTTTTTCCAAATGTATCTTCTTTAGGACAACCATTACAGTCTAGCATTTGCTACTCTTTCCCATGGATTTTATTTCTGCCCATTAGTCCAGTTCTGAATTCTTGAAATATAGGTGGCTTCCTCAATATTTTCCCATCTTTCTCAAGATGGTGTTTCTTTTATTTGCTAATAACTGCTTTTCCTGAGCAAGAACATAGGAGAATTCAAACATTACCCAGATCATTAGAATCTGAGTCCATGCTAAAGCTAAATTGTCCCAATTGGCAGCACCATTTGGCCATGTCCATTCACTTCTAATGAAAACCAACAAAATTAGTATTTAAGGCATGCTTCATTGACTTATTTTCACTTGCTTCCACTGAACTGTTCTTTGAAGAGGAAAGAGCCAAGTGTAGACTCTGCAGTAAAGATGGTGACTAGACTGATGACTTGATAGAAAGCTGCTGAGGTCAAGAACGAAAAGGGTCAGCAGCACACATCCACAGGCAGAATTTAGCCCCAAGTCTTCCTTGAATCAGCACTATGTGACTTGCTTTGCTAGAGGGAGCAGAATGTTAACATCTACTGTAGATAAACTGACATTATCAACAAAATGTATTCACTTTTAGTAAACCAGAATGATGCTGTACATGTCTGAAAAGTGGGATGTTTCTCGAATTTCACTCTGTTAAACATTGCATAGGATTAGGTTGTAGCTGGTTGTGATGTAAAATCAGAACAGTATGCTTTTATGTTGATGAAGTGTAGGAGTCTAACAACACTTCTAGCAGGAAAACAAAGTATTTCAGTTTATACCATCAGTTTTAAATCATGGAATAGTGAAATCTTTTGTCATATTTCCTACAGATAACTTTGCAAAAAATCAGCAGCAGAAGAAATCTCAAGAAGAAGCAATCCCTGCATTGAGGGATATTCCCATTAGTGAAGTAAACCAAATGTTTTTCCTTGCTGACAAAGGCATTTGTAACAGAAATTAATTGGAACCAGACCCTGTTAGAATAAGACACTACAGTACTTCAATAATTTTTTAGAAACCCATTGTAAGAAAAGTCAAAGGCTTGTCAGTGCTAAGAAATCTAACTCTTTCAACAACTGGAATAGATGAATTTGTATCTAAATTAAGCTGTGGTCAACACTGGTTCACCCTGTGTGGCATAGAGTACTGAACCGGGACTCAGAAGATATGGGTTCTATTCCCAGCTCTGCTACTAGCCTGCTGGGTGACCTTGAGCAAGTCACTTCACCACTCTGCTTTGATTTCCCCATCTGTACTATGCATATGATACTGACCTTTATAAAGTGCGTTGAGATCTACTGATAAGTGTTAATTAAGAGCTATGTATTATTATTTATTATTAAACAAATTGATGATTGTTGAAATGGTTTTATTTCTTAATGTAGAGAGACCTACAGTATTAAATAACAAAATACTTCATTCTGGGAACTGAATTCTTCCATATAAATTTGTTTAGCTATGCTCTGGATCTGAAGTAATCTGTTCAGTTACTCCTAGATTTTTTTTTTCTTGCACATTGAGGGTGGGATATTTCAAAGCATTTAATGTTTGGCTTAATTCTACTCTCATTGACTTCAGTGGGAGCAGAGTTAGGCCAACACTGAGTGCTCTTAAATATCCCACCCTTTTTTTGACCAGTCATAGTAAATTAAAGTGTATGCATTGTAACTGTACAGTAATATTAATAAAATGTTTTAATTGTCTAAAACTGATTGCATTTCTAATTTTTTTTCTGAGGGGTATCTTACTTGCCTTGGACATACAGTGCACAATGGATTTTCTTTAGATATGTATTTCTGCATATCAAGAATATCCTTGTTTTCCTATCTTATTAGGCTTATTAAAAGTGATAGGGTTTCCCAAAACCAGGAGAAAAGGTGGGAGATGAAGAAAAATCCAAACGAGTTCCCATTTAAATATATTAGTTGGTTTTTCTTAAATTGCTTTCTTATCCTTCTTCTAAAGTTCTTTAATATTAAACATTACAATTCTTAAGAGTATTAAAAATTAAAATTCTTCCGGACCCATGGAACTGCTGTAAATGTCATAGAAAACTGTGGTCCAGCTTCTTAAACTCAAAGGAAATCTCAAAGTATACTGCATTGTTTCTAAGCCACTGCCAAAATATCTTAAACAGAGAATATTCTTCCACTTAAACGTTACTTTGCTGACAAATCATCACCAGAAATTGTCTAAATATTTTATTTGTCACCAGCTGACATCCTAACACATTGCATCTTAAAACACTAGTGATAATAGTTAAAGCCAGACAAAAATACCGTCACTCTTGTCAGGAAAGAACTTCAGAGTTACAAAAAGTTACCATTTTGTTAGAAAAGGAAATAAGGTATCTTGGAAAACGTCTGTATGTAGGATTTCATACTGATCCCATTAAAACTAATGAATGCTCTGCCACTAACTTCAGTGGGAGTGCTTCCTCCACATCCCAGCTTGCTATAGCTGAACAATCACATGGATGTTCCCAACTTGTGATCCAGAATCTAAGCTTGCTTGTTTGGTTGATTTTTTTGGTTTTGTTTTTTGCAAGGGGGGAGAGAGAGAGGAATCTCCTCCAGCTCTTAGAACAATGAGAAAAATCCTCAAATTTTGAACCAAACAAACCAATGTAATGCTGTCTGCTTGAGTTTGCAGATAGCCTGAAATAATAGCTCTAAAGTGTGTAACTTGCCCTTATTCATCTCATTGGGGTGCTAATGCCAGAGCCTAATGATTATATTTTAAATTACAACCTTAACTACTTAATTGCTGATCAGAATATGCAAGGAAGAAGAGAGTCTTGGAATCTCATTTTGATGTCTCAGATTGCATGGGGCATATTTGTTTGAGTGGAGCATTTGATTTGGGACAGAGCTGAACTTTTTTTTTTTTTCAGTTTGAACCCTTTCTTTTCTCCCTTTTTTTTTTTTTTTTTTTTTTAT